TCTGGGCCCGGCGGGCCTACCTGGTAGTCCACGGGGATCAGCGGGTGGTGCGGGGGGAAGGCTCTGGTGGAGCCCTTGCGGTGGACCAGCAGCGTCCTCTGCTTCCCGTCCACCATGTGCTCCTCCACCTTGGCGATGTTGTGAGACACGTCGTAGATGACGTGCATGTCGAGGTCATCGGGCGTCGTCCCGAACACCTTGGAGAAGGCCTGGACACAGAACCGGGTCACACATCACAACCAACTCGTTAGGGCTCGATCGACTAACCGGGTCTTAATGGACTCGTTAGATTGTGACAATTTCAACTCGTTAGGTCGTAATCGTCTCAACTTCTGAGGCTTTAACTCATCAAACTAATCAAGTCTCTGTTGTCTAGACGTGTCTGCACCTCACTGGCCTCGACTTGTGAGGAATAAACTCGTTAGCGCTCCACTTAACGGACCTGTGAGGCCTTAATCAACATGAGTCATTTAAATTCAAGCAGCTCGTTAGGATCTGTTATCACTACGTCTCCATCACCTGACTAATTAGAGCTCAGCTGAGTCATTAGTTCAGCTTATTGAGGCGTAATCAGTTTGTTATTACAAGTCTCCGAGTCTTAATTAACTTGTTGGGCTACAAGTCATTCAGGTTTTATTGGTTCGTTTCCCTTCAATTGACTGGACTAATTAGTCTTTAATCATCTTGAGTTGTTAGAACTTCATAAAGAATCATAAGTTCATAAAGATTTTTTAAACTTTCTAGAACTCTAAGCGCTGGGTTTTTACTGACTGGAGTTCTTCTGACACAAAAGCTCGTTAGGATTTAATTAACTTGTTAGGATTTGAATAACTGATTTGAACTTCTAAGTCAGATAAAGAAATGTGATTGTGAACACTGAACTCAGTGATTCTCTGACTCTTGTGGTGTCACGTCAGCTGACTGTGGAGCTGCACAGGTGTGTCCAGGTGTGTCCAGGTGTGTCCAGGTGTGTCCAGGTGTGTCCAGGTGTGCGTACCTGTCTGGTGAGGAAGGTCATGGAGGAGCGGTTGACCCAGGCGTAGTTTCCGGCGGCCGCCATGCCCTTCAGGTAGTCCTGGCCCTCCTGGGAGGTGATGCGAGCGCAGGCCAGCTGCCGATCATTCACCGTGATCTTGTCGCGCTTCATGGCCTTCTCCATGGCAACCAGAGCGTCTGTCAACAACAACAACATGTTTTTATTTAGACTTGATTGTTCCATTTGATTTCAGCTCCACATATTTTAGTACTTTGATCTGCGTCTGATCAGTTTGCTTGTCTGCAGTTTATCTGACTGATGTTTGAACTTGTTTCTTCTTAAATCAATCAAAAATAAAAATCCAAACCACGTTGTTCTTCTGCTCTGAAGCACAGTCACTCAGATTGTTCACCCCGACTACCTTCATAACTCAGGTGCAGTTACCTGTGGCCACCTGGTGTCCGAGGCCTCTGCTGCCGCTGTGGATCATCACACACACCTGACCTTTGTGGTCGATGCCCATCTTCTTGGCGGCGTAGTCGTTGTAGATCTCGTCCACCACCTGGATCTCAGCGTAGTGGTTTCCTGCTCCCAGAGTGCCGAGCTGCAACACATTTAACAGTGTACTACAGGTGTGTATACAGGTGTGTCTACAGGTGTGTCTACAGGTGTGTCTACAGGTGTATTACAGGTTCATACATAGTGGTATTACAGGTGTATATACAGGTGTGTGAACAGGTGTGTATTACAGGTGTGTGAACAGGTGTGTGAACAGGTGTGTATACAGGTGTGTGAACAGGTGCATGTACAGGTGTGGTCCTGCTGGTTACCTGTGGCAGGCCTCTCTTCTTGGCCTTGGACGACACCTTGTTGGGGTCGGCCTGCAGCATCCTACCGTACTCCTCACAGTGCTCCTTGTCCTCGGCCCAGGCGTAGCCCTCCCTCAGGGACCAGTCCACCCCCATCTCCAGGGCCTCCTCCAGGTCCCTGACACACAGGTGGGACAGGTGAGAATGAGACAGGTGGGACAGGTGAGAATGAGACAGGTGTGTTCGTCCTTACTTGGCTCCCATCGGAATGACCCCTTTAGATCCGACTCCGACTGGAATGTGGTCGAACAGCGACTGAGCGAGCTGCTCCTTCACTGGCTGGACGTCTCCTTCGTCCAGGTTCGTCCTCAGCAGACGGACGCCGCAGTTAATGTCGAAACCAACGCCACCTACGGGAAAGGACAGGTACTGTCAAAATAAAACACCACCTACAGGAAAGGACAGGTACCGTCAAAATAAAACTCCAGCTGGACTGTTTGCCACAGTCAGACGTGACCCCGGCCCCCGGGACGTTACAGTATATTGATCAGATTGAAATAATCAGAACAGAGTTTCCCACCTGGAGACACCACAGCGTCGGGGTCGTTCATGTCGAAGGCGGCCATGTTTCCGATGGCGAATCCGTATCCAGAGTGGACGTCAGGGAGGCCGATGGACTTCTGTTGACCAACCAGACACAGCGCTGAAGTTCAACACTTGAGTTCATAACAGTCAGACTTGATCCTGCTCTAAAATCTGCAGACTCACGTGTACGATTCCTGGCAGCGCCGCCACGTTCCCGATCTGCTTCATGGCCGGAAGGAATCCTCCCACACCTGAGGGACAAAACACAGATGAGTCTCAGCAGGTGAGCTTCAGGTGAGTTCAGAGGGCTGGAGAGTTAACCGACCTCCTCCTCGACAGGCGTTACGAAGCTCCTCAAACATGAGCTTCTCCAGAGAATCGTTCACGTAGAAGTTTCCTTCAACCTGACGGACAAACAGATGAGTGAAGAGACAAGAAAAGCTCAATTAACAGTAAATGACAGGTTCTATTTAAATTAAAAGACAACTTTATTATGACTAAACGATCAGCTAGGACACAACACCAGTTAAGACATAAAGCTAGAAGAAGTAAACATGTGTGTAAAGATCCAGTCATGGACAAAGTGATCAGACCTCCTTGTTTTCTTCAGCTTCTTGTTCATTGTAACGCCTGCTGCCATCTGTTTGGACAAACATACTGACAACAACAAAACCAGCTGATCAGACTTTAACTTCAGAGCTGGTATCAGACATGTTCCAGGATTTCTTGGTTCTAAGTTCTTCCACCAGCAGCTATGGCATTGTGCTGCCAGAACCAGAGCTGTTAGACGGTCCATGGTTCCTGTTCTGTCTGTTTCAGTCACATGATGCACAGGAGT